GTGTGACACCTGAAGGAAAGTTCTGGCAGGTGGATTGGGACGAAGTTACAATCTGGTTCTCATTTTCCTTCTTGATTTAAGTGCCTTTCCCTGGTGCCTCCGCCCTCCGTTTTGCAGCATGCAAATGAAGTGAACGACTCCCCACACTTGACTCCCATTTTCCAGACAGTCAAAGAAAGGTCAGGGCATTCCTCTCTGTTTCCCCAGGTACAAAGGAGACAAATGTGGAGCAGGGAGAGGACACAGACTAAGAGACAGTGGAGAGAGAGGGTGGGAGGAGGTAAAGAGGAGAGAGCCTTGGGCTTAGGGTAGGGAGGGCAGATGTTCTCAATGAACTTACACTTGGTATGTTATCGTTGGTACAGACCCCCTCGGACAGTAATCTGTCTCGGATTTCCCAAGCAAAGATGGACGGGCACTCTCGCTTATACTGGGCTATTTTGCTTACAACTTCTGGAGTCGCTACTCTCGGTTTACTACCACCGATTGCCCTGGGTCTGATGGAGCCAGTCTCGTAATACCTGCCCAGAATTTTACTCACACATCCGTTGGACACCTGCATAGGGGAAGTGGACAGAAAACCACATTATTAATAATTTCAAGACAAAAATAAAATTGTTTAAGTATGCATTAAACAATGACAAGCTTACGTTTTGATTGTCCAGCACTTGGACTTTTGCATCTGCATGGGTCTATAACACAAAAATATACCTTCAATGGTATGAGAACTTACTGTAGAGAGCTTTTTTCTTAAAATTACATTTGTAGCCCTAAAAACTACAAATATGATGATACTTTCAAACAGTTTGAACTAAAAAAAGAATTTAAAAGTTTTTTTTAAAAAAAACTGTTTTCTTAAACACTGCCTGAAGATGCATCAAAACGAAGTCAGATTAATTTATTTTTGTGCTGACCTTGCTTAAAGTGGTGCCAGGTTTTAAAGAGCAAAGGTTAAAAAAACCTGATTTTTTACTTCTTTTTCTTTAAAAAATGCCCAACTGAGTAAATATGAGTTAGGGAGGAGTAAATAGCACTTGCCTTTTAAAATCAATATGTATTCTTCATAAATATGAAGAATAAGCAAATACCTCAAAATCTGAGGTAAGCATGGGCTGGGGAGAGCAGAATGAAATTATGCCGATTTATATAACTAAGTTTATTACAGTTCATAAACTGTTCCCACAATGAATGTCTTTACCAAATAAAAAGAGAAAGATTTTTTTTAAAAATCCACACACTGTATTTTTCTGAAGCAGATGAGTTATCTGTTTCAACCCAGGTTGAAAGAGATAGGGAAGGATGGTGGAAGGAGAGGGAAAAGTGGGAAGGCAGGGGAGTGGGTGGGGGACTGGGGACTGGGGACTGGGGTGGGTGAGGGTGGGGGGTCCATAATTAGCATCGTTTACAGTAAGAAATGAAGAGAGGGCGTTGAGAGTGGAGGGCCGCGGGGGCGGCGAGTGGGGCGGCGCCGGGAGGATCACCTGCAGAATTCGGGAAATGTCGCACGGCCGTGCCCCGCTGTGAGCTAGCTCTACAATCTTCTGCCGGGTGGAGTCCGGCAGTGGCCGCCCGTTGACAAAAACACCACCGAGCTGATTCACTCCGCTGTGACCTGAGGAAAGGGAGAGGAGAGCAAAGGGGAAAAGAAGAGAGGAGAGCAGAATGAAGAGGAAGAAGAGGGAGAGGAAGGAAGAGGAAGATGAGGGAGAACAAGAACAGGAAGAAGAGGAAAGAGAAAAAGAAGGGGAAGAGGAAGAAAGAGAGGAGGAGGAGGAGGAGACAACCACAATGCATCCTCATCCCCCTGCCAACCTGTGCCAACCTCAGCGATCAGGTTCCTGCTATCGATCAAAAAAAAGGACAACAGGACAACCAACCATGCCAGACATTGGGCAGCCCAGCCCCAAACAGCCGTGCCCTTGCCCACTGGACTGCAGCAGCAACAGAGTCAGACACATGCCAAGGAACAAGAACACACGGACCTCTCTACCGCCATAACCCCAGCAGTGTCCCCAGCCCACTGCCCCTCTTCATAAACACTGCAGCCAGCCTCTGAACCCACAAAGCGCTAAGAACCAGCTCTACAAATCTCCCAAAGATCCCCTCTGAGTGTCACCGCAAACCATAGGTTCTACAGATCCCACACTTAACCTTCAAGGTCTCTGCAGTGTTGGAACAGTGATAGCAAACCTTACAGCCCTTGAGTGCTCCCTTGGAAGCTAAAATCCAGAAATGTTTGCATTACAGTCCAAACTGGCCAAGGCCTGGCACAAGCACCGAGTTTGGTTTTGTTTGGTTAGAACAGAAGAAGGAAGAGGAGAGAAGAACCAGAGCAGCCAGTCTGTGGCTGGCGAACCCCAGTCCAGGTTTCCGCTCCTCCAGTGTAGACGTGAGAGTCAGAGCCCCGGCTCTGCTTCAGCCACAGACAAGTCCGGCCACCGCAAGTAAGGCTTAGAGCCGGGAGTCGTTTCGCACCGGCCACTGCTCGCTTTATTTCCGCCGCTGAACTCCGCCCTCCCCTCAGCCAAGGATAGATATTAGCAAAAATCAAAAACAGAAACGAAAAAGAAAAGACCACGTCATAGTGTTCCCCATCCCTCCTTTATCTTTGTATCTCACAACCTCATCCCTGTGGTCCAACCTTGGAGAACAGGGAGAGGGAGTTAGCCCCTTTGTAGCCCCCCTCCCCCAAAACCACAGACACACAAAATAAAGCCAATTGCCAATTTCCACTTCCTTAAAAATCTCCAACCTGCAGCCCCGACTCTAGAGAGCAGCCCTCCTAGGAAAAGACGTGGCTCCCTTTTCAGCTCTCCTCTCCTCTCCTCTCTTCTCCTTGGAGCCTACTGATAAATTGACTCCAGGAGCCTGAGCTTCTTAGCAATAAATAAGCTCCAAATATAGAAGAGGGGGGAAAATATGATGAGCCTCTCTGACATTTGTCTTTAAAATAAAACTAGCTGCACGTCAAGTTTGAGCTTAATTTCTGGAAATAGGCGGAAGTCGCTCCGGATCATGCATGGAAGGCTAATTGAAAAGATCAGTCGGGGCGCTTGTGGCAGCCTTGTCACTTTGTGACAGTGCTCCGCTCCGGGAAATTGCATCGTCACGACAAACGGGACCGTGATAAAACGACCCTTTCCGTCCCTATTTGTAGATCACTCAGACGAGATTGAACTGCACTCGTTTCCCCTTCGAGGGGAGCCGCGTTTTCAGGGTAGCCGAAGGCTTGGGGCTGAGGGGGGGCCCCTCACCGAGGCGGGGTGGGGGTGGGGGGCCGGAGCCTCAACTCGATGAGAAGTGACAGGCGTTTGGGGGATCTGGGCTCCGGCCGGGCCCAGCGCAAGCAGGGACATTGCGGGGACACCGCTTCTCCAACAGAGCAAGGCCTGGCCCACGTTTCCGGTTTATCCTAACTTCCTTTTATTGCCTTCCTTTGCCTCGCAAGTTCCATTCACCGCTCCAGCTACGGAGCCCCACCTCTAGGCACAGGGAGCTTCCCGGAAAAAGAAAGGCTGTCCCAGAAAGAGACCGAGAAAGACTTTCCAAACTTCACGCATAGACACGGCAATTCCCAGTCTGCGAATGCCAAGGCGGGCGCGTGAGGCAGCCTACATCCAGACCTTCCTCCTCACCCATTTCAAAAAATAACAACGTGCCCGCCACCTCCGCAGCTATCGCCGCTGGGTGCTCGCCCAGGAGACGCCAGGGCCAGAGCGCCACTCCCAGCATCGAAATGGCAGCGAGGAAGAGCAGCTCCAAATTCCCCTTCAGAGGTTAAGCCTCAATCATTGTGTCCCTTCCCTAGGGACGGCTGGCGCTCTCGCCCACTGGCGATGATTATGCGCCTAGAACTCGACCGCGAAGCAACTAATAGGAAAACATATGGTGTCAATTTGGACGCTCCGCGCCTCGCGCACACCCGGGAACGAGCTGCACAAGCCCTGCGGGCCGGCCCGCGACCCCGCGCCCCTCGGGGCCTGCCAGCCGGGCCGCAGCGGCAAACGCTCAGGGCTGCAAGCCCTGGCTGGGGCCCGCCCGAAAGCGAGCCTGCGGTTGGGGAGTCTGAGCTCCAAGGGGAGAGCCCAGCCGCCGAAAGGGAGCCTACCGGCCAAGCCCTGGGGTGCGGCAGGTTCTGCACAACTACCCCCGCAAAGCTCGCCACCTTTGTGCCCCTTCATCAGCTACGCGCTTACCAGCCCCGGAAGCACCAGGGGGCGACCGGCGTTTCCCGAACAGATGGATAAGGTGCTGGGGACCCTCTTAAGCCTTTGTGGTTCGGCCAGGGAAGGCTGCTAGAAGACCTGGGCCTTTCCACACTCCGAGTTCAGTTGAGCCCTGACGCCTCAACCGTAACTTCAAACCCGGCCTGGTTTCGCTGGGCCTCCAGGCTCCCAGGTCGGAGCTCTAGACTAGCCCTGCCACGTACCAGCACCCACCAACTAAACAGGAAGGTGGGTGGGGGCCCAGGGGGTCTGGGCAGAGGAAAGCAGGGAAGTAGAAGAGCCATAAGTATCAAAGGTGCTCTGGGCCTGGGACTATCAGGACCCAAGCAATTGCAGTTGCCAGGGCAGGGCTTTTCCAGTTCCTGGGCACCTCCTTCCCAGACCCAGTAAACCGCGCTCTCTTCCCGCGCCCTGTAACAGCGAGTTTACCACCCCTACCCTGCTGCAGGCCTGGGGGCTCCTCTTCCCAACCCTTCTAGGTCCATAGGTGGGGTAAGGAGGGGAGGAGCTGCCCTGAGAGTGACTTGGGGAGAGAAGCCCCCCACCCCGCCGAGTTGGTGGAGACTTTCAGTCTTGGCTAAGCCCAAAGGGGCCTCCTTCTCGCGCAACTAGAAGAAGCCTTCGCCCCGCCCTGCTCAGCCCAGCCCCTCTCTCCGGGGTCAGAGCCCGGGCAGGGGCGGGGAGGGGGTGTGAGTTACAGGATTTGGGGGGGATGGGGTTTCTCTACCGCAGCTTCGAAAACTCGGGCGGGCTGTTCTTAAGGGCCCAGCCCCTGCTTCTTCAGTATCGAGAAGAGCAAAGCAAACGCCCTCCCCTCCTGGGCTGCCGGGCGCGGAGTGGGGAGCAGCCGCCCCAGGCCCCGGGCCTCAGTCAGTCGGCGGCCGAGCCAGCTCGGGCTTCGCGAGCCTGTGTCCTCCCCTGACCCTCGGGTCCGCGCACCCCGAGCCCAAAGTCCCAGAAAGATCAGAGGCACTTACTGTTCTGCATGCTGGCTCTGACTGGGGGCCGCGGGATTCCACGGGGCTCGAATACGGGGCTCTGTTAGAAAATAGGAGTTAATCCCTGGGCAGCTGCATCAGGTAGGCCTGAACTCCCAACCGAGGTGGACCTGGGGCTAGGACAGGAGAATCTCCGTTCCTTAAGAATTGATCTACTCAACCGCTTGGGGCAATCTGAGGGTCACCCAGCTCTGCCTTGCAGTGCATGCAAAAGCTACCCTTTGGGACTTGAAACAAAATACTCGAATATCCCCAATCTCTTTCCCCTACATTCTTTAGCAGTTAACCCTTTAATCAGTAGAACCGATGCCCCAATTTTGAATTTTTTGTTCTATCGGATCTATAGTGAAGAAGCATACTGAAATAGTTTGTTTTGACTGTTTGTGGGTTTTGAGCCCAAAGCAGCCACCACAGAACTTGCCTGAAATCTCGGATGTCTGTCCACTCTCACAATAAAAGGCCTCACACATCTGCGCGCCCCTAGTTAAAGTCTTCCCCCTAAGACAAAACAGAAGGAGAGAAAGGTATATCAAGCTGTGGTTCAACAGCATAGGTCCATGGGCTCTCTGAGTCCCACTCTCAGGAAAAACACATGCATCTAGGGCTCAGTCAAACTGCCATCAAACTCTAAGTCCCAGCATTACACCCACATTCTCAGCGGCATCTCCCACAGAAGTCTCCATCCTTTAAAAGAGGCTGCTCTGGTCTGGCTTGGGAGAATTGGCAAATCTGACAAGTTGGGGTCCCACTTTGCAAAAATATTAAGAACCAGGAAAAGGGAGTAGAGGCCAAGAGTTGAGGTTGAGGGGGTGTGAGGGAAGAGGAACCTGAAGTTTGGAAAGCAGGGGAAGGGAACCTTGGAACTTCCTGGTGCCAGAGAGTATAGGCTGAAGCAGTTTGGGAGAGCTGCAGGGCCATACTCCCTCCTTCCTTAAGGAATTTCACAAGACCCCCAGAACCCAACACTCTGCTTACCCCTTTATCTTCCTCTCCTCTCCCTACACCAAAAAAGCTTCTCAATGGCCCCCTCTCCATCTACCTCCCAGCTTTCTGGGACTTTGAAAGGGGCAAGCCTAACTTTTTATCCCAAACCTCACTTACTGTGATTAACTTCTCTTTTGACGTTTAGATCTTCACCCCTTTTACTGTACTGTGACACACCCTGCCTACCTCGCCTCACTGCTTTAAAAAGTACGAACAGGAGGGGGTGAGCATGGTCGACAAAGCCTACAGACGGCAAACAATGGCTTCTATTCTCCAGCTTTCCTCGAACCCAAGGAGCAAAACCGAGTCTCCCTAACTAGCAACACAGCTTCCAACCAAACGTACCAACAACCCACCAACTCACAAAGGGAACTGAGGGACACTCCTAGCTTCATAAACCCTGACCCAGTGCAGGGTTCCCGGAGGCTGGTCCTGTACGAACCCCTCCCTGCCTTCCCCCCCCCCAAAAAAAAAGGCTTTTGGGCGAGTGGAGAAAATAGAAAAGTAATTTCTTGTTATAAATATCTGGAGGTAATTGTGTTACTGGTGTGAGTTGTTAGGGGCTGTAAAAAGATACAACGGCACCGTGGGGAGCTCAATTGGGAAGAGAGAGTTACAATAAAGAGCCCATTCAAGAGGTCTGCCCCCCAAAAAGAGGTAAAATAACAAAATAGTCACAGCATCATTTCTCCGTTTTTTAAAAAATGCATTATTTTTTCTGTTTTACCTATGGTGATTATTGATCTGCCTGCCTGCAAGCAAAGAATTTCAAGAAGCACGTTTTACTCTACAAGGCCATTCCTGGTCTACTTTTTAACCACTTGGTAGATAGCTTAAATCCATAAAAATAAACCGAAAATGAGGACTTTTTCTCAGCATTGGGTAAATACTGGCCACAGCAGACAGCTACTAGTTACCCTTATCTAGGTTGGTTCCCCAATGCTTCCTTCCTGTCTCTCAGTCCCCGCACCCATAGCCATGCCCTGGACAGGCAAAATCTCCAACTCCAATGCAGAATACCCCACCCCACCCAATGCAGGACCCTGAAGCTGCAAAGGAGTAGCAGGTGGGGAGATGGGGAATGGAATTCCCCTAGGAGGGGTAAAACTTCCTGAACTCCACTTTGTAACCCATGCTGTACACAATCACAACAGAATGCCCCCATCCTGGCTGGTAACTTCTTGATACCATTTTTAAAAATTCAGTAGCTGAGCCCAGACAGGCCTTGTTGATTAGTTTTCGAAGCAGCTGGGAAGGTGGTAGTATTTCAAATTCCAGTTCTGCTCCATTCCCCCTTCCCTCTCGCTAAGAAGCTATCTAATTACTTAAGTTAATGTGAACACTAAGTGCAGAGGCAACCCGGGAAGTGGGGCACATCGACACCCGGAAGCAGTCCTGTGCACCGGAGAGGGCAGACCCCCAACTGCAGCCTGAGCCCCCCAGCTCAGCCCAAGGCTCTGTACGGCCTCGCTGGGGCCATAGACCCACATCCTGCACGAAGGCGTCTCCAGACATTTTGGAGTCGTCCCGGCCTTGGACCACGAGACCGCTGGACCACTGCCCCCACCTCTCTGTCCCCAACACAAGCCTCAGTTTTCAAATGCTGTTGTTATTTTAATTACTTAATTCTCAAATTCCATCCCCAAACTCTTTAACTGGGGTAAAGGGGAGAGCTCACTCTTGGTCTTCCCGCCCCCAGCCAAAAGAGGAATTAGCAATTAAGATGACAAAGTTTTACTCTCTAGGGCCAAATAAGATAACAACTAATCAAACTGCCTTCAGACGTTTGCAAAGGTCACTGGCTATAAAAAATGTAATGTCAACGGCAACAACTATTATTTCTCTTCAGTAAACTCGTCAGGCTTTCAAGCTCTTTGCCTTTCATTTCATTTTCTGCTCCCAGCCCCTACCAAACCCTTCCCAAGTTCGAGTTAAACGTCCAAAATGCCTTAAGGAGCTTGGGAGAGTATAAGGAAAATAAAAAGGAAGGAAGAAAGAAACCACGTTCACTTTGTTTTTAAACTTTCTAGAAATCGCTCATGAATGAAGAGCCGGGTTTTAGCACTCGAAAAAGAAAGCATTTCCACTTGAAATTCAACTCCATTTCCCCCAATTACACTTGCTAAAATTCAGGGCTATTATGGCGCAGGGAGACTGAGAAAATCTGCACAAGGAAAGAGGCAACAACTTTATGAACTTTGAAAAGACACTTTTCCTCCTGGGATCTTAGAATCGAAAGCTCTCAAATTACTCCGACTAATTAGCTGGGAGAGGAAGTGATCAGACGAGGGGGAAAGCCAATGCTTTCACGTAGATTTATTTTCAAGGCCTTACCTAGAAAAACATAAGAGGATTCGGAGTAAAACAAATAAAAGAGCAAACCACCTCTGCACCTCAAAACCTGCTGAAATCCCAACACCTGGTGCGACTGGATCAGAGGAAAACAAGGAAAAATACCCACCAAGCGCAGGGGGCCGGAGGACAGGGAAGAGCCCCAGCCTCCGCAGGGCGAGGGAGATGAGAGTCTGGGGAAGCCTGGGGAGCAGAGAGTTTTCAAGTTCCGAGCTCCGCGCTCCAATGGAGTTGGGGGCAAGAGCCCGGGGGCTGGATGGAAGCTGACAAGTCCTCCCGCTCGGCTCTGAGCTCCCTCGGAGCGCGCGTCCCACCGCCTTGGCCTGGTGGCTTCCTTCCCGGCTCGCGCTAGCTCGCTCTTCCTTCTGCCTCCAGCGTGCGGCTGTCTTGCCGACTGACTCCGCTCCGGCTGGTGGCGGGCGCGGTGCCCCCTCGGCGCTGGAGTGCAGGCTGACTCTTCTGCGCCGGAGCCCAGTGCGGCACAAAGCCCGAGGGTCGGCGGGAGGGAGGAGACGCGGCAAGCCGGTTCCCTCGGCGATTCCTCGGAGCGCCCGCTCTCTGCGCGCTCGCTGGGCCTCGGGCTGGACAAAGCAGCCGGTAGCGGTTGCTCTCTGCGGCCGTTCCAGGGCCTTGGACACCACAGAGCCTCTTCGTCTTTTCCCGCGGGTCGGGAGCATTGGGCGACGATGGGGCCGGGAGCCGCGGCTGCTGCCGCGCCTGGAGTCTCCCTTCTTCCCGCGAGCTCAGCCCGCGCTGGCGCTGGCGCTGGAGCTGGCGCTGGGGCAGAGCTGGCCGCCCGCCCCGAGCCCTGCGCTGCTCCCGCTCGCCGGCAGTCGCCCTCCGACGCGGGCTTTCGCTGGAAGTAGAAAGTTTGGGCTCCTGCGTGGAAACTTCTCCGGCCCAACTCTCCCGGCGTAGCAGTGGGGGAGGGGACTGGCGAGAGGGGAGGAAGGAAGGGGGGAGGAAGGGGGAGACCTGTCTGAATATTGCAATAAAAATAAAGCGAGAAGGAAGAAGCGGACTCACCTTTATGAGGCATCCTCTCTGGTTGTCACAGTTCCTGTCAAGAGTTCTGTTTGGTTGGGTTTTTTTGTGCTGCTGTTGTTGCTTAAAGACCACAATGGTTTGAAATGACGGTGTTTTAAAGGAGTTGCTGGTGAGAGTTTTCTCCACGGATGTTGCTGGGTTGGTGTATGAGAGCAATTCTCAGATTCCTGGGAAGGAGACAGAGATTGACAATAAAATGGGTTGTCAGCGGCTGGAGAGTGAGAGATAAAGAGTGTGGGTGAGGGAAGTGGCTGCAGCCAGCACACCTATGCTGATTGGTGATGGCTCAAGTGTGTTAATGTGTGTGTGCCGGCGCCCGGCCTCGCCTCCACCGCTCCTCACTGGCCCATTAGCGAAGCCTGACCTCTGTCATCATCCTCCAGCAAAACACTTCCTCCTGAGCCTGAACCAGAGCGGGAAATGAGGCCGAGCCACGGTTCGCTTTTCAAACCCACTAATCACTCCGCAACATGCAAATGCACCGCTCGCTCTCACACAAAATATTGCTTTATGCAAAGCAGCGCCGGGGCCTCGCGCCAGCCGATTGGATGTTCCCTCTCCCCGCCTGGTGCAATTGGTCCGTTTGTTTGAATATGAATACACTTGTTTTCGGCTCCGCCGGTGGGTCCCGACTCCTCTCCCCGGCGCAGGGCCCCCGAGCCCGGGCTCTGGCGCTCGCCCGCATCTCCCCGCTCCGCGCACGCCGAGAGTCGGCGCGGCCCGCCCTGCTGTCGCGAACTTGAGCGATGAAGTGAAGGCTTCTGGGTTGGGGGTCGCGCCCCGACTCCCCCTAAGCTGGGCGCGAGACTCCCAGCCCACGGAGGGCGCAAGTTTCTGCGCTGTCCTTTCTTGCCAACTCCAGGACAGAGTGGCCTGCCGCCCCGACCCCGCCCGCCCCCACCCCATCCCGGCCTGGGCCCCAAGACGCAGAGCACAGCGGCTGCCGCACCCCAGCCCACCTGGCCCCTTGGAAGAAGAAGAAAGAGGCGGGAGCGTCACTGGGTCCTGGCAGCTCCATTCCAGCTGCGGAGGCCGCGGTGAAGCCTAGGCCGAGAGGAGGTTGCCTGGCCGAGAACTAAACGAGGCCAGCGGCCTCCCCAGCCCAAGCCTCCAGGGCCTGTCCAATCCTCCACCCCGTTCCCCCGGCCCTTTCTTCTCTCTCCTTTCGGCAGCCGCGGTGCGCAGCGGAGCGGAGGGACAGCTCCGGCTGGAGAGGCCCAAGTAAACACGCCACTTACTTTGTGTACAGAGGGTTCTTGTGAAAAGCCCTGAAGAGTCCTCACCAAACACTCACCAACTTCTCCCACGTGCCATTTGTTGACTAAGTGCGGCTGCTTTTCGCGGCGCCCGAGAGGAGGGGAAGCCAGGGGAGATGAGAGGGGAGGGGGAGTGGAAGCCTGGGTGGGGGGGCGGATGACCAATGCTGGGAGAGATTCTCTCTCTCTCTCTCTCTCTCTCTCTCTCTCTGTGTGTGTGTGTGTGTGTGTGTGTGTGTGTGTCCCACCGGCGATGTCGGTATGTCAGCGTGTGTGCCACCGGTCATCTGTGTGTGGTGCGTGTGTCTCCGCACCACGACTCCCTCTCCTGGGTCTGCGCAGTCCACGGAAGCAGCTCCCCTTCAGCTGTTGCCAGAAAACCGGGGAGGAAAGTAAGTAAATGGCTTTTCTCTTCTGACCACACACCAGAAGTCCATTTGTTGAATGCCGCACGATTAGGACACACCTCAGTACACTCCAAAGGCGCCCCTCGGAGCCTGCAGTTAAGGTGACAGGAGAGCGAGCGAATGCCTGGTCCTGCACTGTCCGGAGCTCTCTCGGCAGCTTCGGGCCATGGAGCCGGCTGCAGTACACACTCCAGGACCGGGCAAGGGGGAATGGGGCTGGAGAGCTGAGGCAGGGAGGCTGAAATGAAGCCGCCGCAGGGTACGCTAGACTCTTCTTGACTTAGGGAAAGTGCTGAAAGTCAAAGCCCATCAATAAAATCTGCGCGTCCTGAACTCGCTGCTGACAGGCCGCGTCGCCGCAGCACCTGGGAGCCGGGACAGTGAGGACGCTGCAAGCCGCCCTGGGCCGCCGGGCCACGTGTGGGCCTCACCCTCTCGTTCCTGCCCTGGACCCAGCAGCGCCGCGACCAAGGAGCCCGGGTAGGGCGGGAAGCAGAGGCCTCCCAGGCCCTAGTCAGAGTTAGGGTCTCACAACCCTCTCCCCTCCCCAGGCCGGGGAGGGCTGCCGGCTCTAACCCTTCCCGCGGCCCAGAAGCTCGCAGCGCGGGGAGGAAACCCGGGTCAGAGGCGAACGAGGTGGCGCCGGGTGTACAGGTCCGCGGCCTCCTGTGCGAGGTTTCATTTCGCAGGAGCGCGACTTTCGGAGGATGCCGGGAAGTGGGGCCGCGGCCCTGAGTCCCAGACCAGCGAAAGTCGGTCTTCTCTTTCTCTCTCCTTTTACGTTTCAAGCGAGCATTAAAGAAGCTTGGACTCAAGACTCAAGTCCGCTGTGCAAGAGCGAGGGACTTGGGGGGAGGGGTGAGGGCAGTGATTCTGTCCGAACTGGAGGCGAGTATCATTTTTACAACCTCTCAATTAGCGACCGAGTGGATTAGCACCTTCTTAAGCTTTGCCTCGGAAAGAAGCAGCCGTAATCTTGTTGCTATTTCCCCCCAGGGCACTGGCTCTTTGAATCAGCTCCTTCTCCCACCCTTCTCTGCGGAGAAAAGTTTTAACAAAAAATCAGAAAAGGCAAGGAGCGAGGAGTGAATGCCACTGACGTCATTGGGTGGGGAAGGGGGGTCGGGGAAAGACTCCTGGAAACTCCTCCGCACAAACAAAAAACAAAAAGGACTTGGCCGCTTCCCATGTGTCAATATTTGGGGAGGGGAGCTCAACCCCAGAAAGAGGCCGAGTTTTCAAAGTTTAAGGAGAGAGGGTTGAGAGCGAGATTTCCTGGTTCTCTCTGGACTGGTCTCAAGAAGGGTGGGGGTGCTGTTCTGCTTCGTGGGTAGCCTCACTCCTTCTGCCAAGTACCCGCTCCGGGGGTGACGCGGCCTGGGGGTGTGGGGGTCGAGATTGAGGTGCGGACGCGGTCGCCAGAGGTGTGTACAAAACCGAGACAACTCGCAGGTCGCCATTTTAATTGCGGCTACCAACTCACCGGAGGCCCACTTGCTGTCCTCCAAGGCCCGGTGGGCGGAGGGGATTGCGCTTTAGGTACTGTCTCGCCTTTCCCCGCCTCTCCACATGCCCCTGTAACCCCCACCCCACCCTCCGCCCCCTGTGGCCAGAGGGAGGACCTCTCAGGCCGAAGGGTGCGTTCCTGCGGGGGCCGCCGGGGTCTTCCCACCCGGTAGAGGGGCTGTCTGCGTGGAGGGAGTCCCGCTGGGGTACTGTGGCTCGCCAGAGCCTGCCCAGAGCTTCTACCCAGTATTGATGCGTCAACATAAGGTCAGGCAAGCATCTCACCCGCACTGGTCTCTGGCATTCCCCTGTGCCCACCCCATCAGACCTTCGGGGAGGCAAAGAAGTGCCCACTTCTGGGGGGATGTGCCTCCAGCTCCCAGCTTCAGAACCAAGAGTCTCCCATCCGGAGTTCTGACACCTCCGAACTCTCTCTTTCCCCGGCCAAGCAGAGGCGCAGCGCCGGCGCGCTGGAAAGGGTGAAGACTGGCATTTCTTTGGAGGAGGAAAGTCTTGGCAGACACCTGCGTCACTTTGTAGTGCCCCAAACGTCTCTCTCTTTGCAGACCCTGGGAAGGTGGGATCCCTGGTCCGCGGAGCTGGCAAACGGGTCCAGTGAGCACTAAAAGCAAAGGCTCTCACCCTGGCCGCCAAGTCCCAGGTGCCTCCCCCGCTTCCAGGCCTTTGTCCCTCTCCTTTCTCCAGCAACCTGCCGGTTCCCGCTAACCCGGCAGCTTCACTGATCCCAGAGCCTAGAAAATCCAAGAAGATCCCAGAGACGCCCCGTGGCGCCTCCAGGCTGTGGCCACTGCTCAGCTACAGTGGAAGCCGCTGTGCCCTCGCCCTTCCTTGCCTCCTGCCAAATGGCCAGTGCTAGGGGCTCCCTGGGTTCCGTCCTCAGTCCTCTTCCATTCACTCTGGGAGGCCAGTCTCTCTCTCTCTCTCTCTCTCTCTCTCACTGTCTCTCTCTCACTGTCTCTCTCTCTTTCTCTCTCTCTCTCTCTCTCTCTCTCTCTCTGTCTTCTCCCTGCCCACCCCTGAAATACCTTTAAAATAACATTGTCCAGTGGAGTCTCCCACCAAAGGGATTCCTAGCAGCCCAGCGGGCCAGACTCCCAAGGCTTTGCCTCCCAGTCCCTCCATGCTGTTGTCCAGATAGGAGCTAGGTTTAAAACTCCTGACCTGTAGAACAATTGGAATCAGCGGCACTCTCCGATTTTTGCAAATAGGGTTCCTAGGAAAGTTTGCTTTCCATTTCATCACCCTGAGACGATCCCCCTCATCTCTCTTTTCCCTGTGACCTCTGCCCCCAAGAAGCAAGAGTTCAGCTTCAAAGGAAAAGCAAGCAAGCCAAGGCCACCTCAGTCCCTTCTCCTTGGATATCCCCTCTCTAAACCGCTACCCGTTCTAAAGGCCAACGACCCGGTCCTGCGATTTGTCCCGTTGTGGACCTGGGAACAGGCAGGCGGGAACTGGGAGCTTTACTGGGGGATTTGAGGCTGGGGAGGAGGAGGGAGCAAATGTCATGGCTGGCTCGCTGGAGCAGCCAGGGAACCGGAGCTAAGCGCATCCTGACGGGCTTTTAAAATGACATTGATTAGGACAAGCTGTTCCCAACCCCAGTAAGAGTTAATCTGCCTGTTAATCAAGGCACTAAGGGGCTCAATGCGAGTTTTATTAGCGACAGGAGAACAGAGGCCGCAGCCAGGGATCAAAAGCCGGGATCCCATATATTTGTCAACGCTATCTCCAACAAAAAAAAAAAAAAGTATTTTCAATTAGAAAACAATTCGGCGCTTTTCATCACTTCCTAACCCTAGCCCAGTCTCACAGAGGGTGACTTCCAAACCTGGCTAGCGGGGAAAACCGCTGCCGGGGGACAGAGGGGCCGACAGGAACTGCGGGTTGGCTCGGCCGAGTGCGGCAGGGGAGAATTTAAGAATCCTCAGCCCGCGGCCCGGATGCCTCTGATTCCTCACGAGACGAAAGGGAATGAAAAATGAAGCAACAAATGACACCACCCAGGCTGGCAGCCCTCCTTCCCCGCCAGACCCCGCTCCTCAGGCCCGGCTCTGGCGCCGAGTGGTGTCCAGACCCTGCACGCGCGGCGCGACCCGCAGGAAAGTTTGTGCAGCGAGAGTGACTCTCCTTCAGCCTCGCGCGCGCTGCCCCCTTCTGCCCCGGAGGGGCGTTGGGTTGCCTTCGGTTTTCCTTTCCAGTTCTA